GGCGACCCGCCCGCCGCCGAGAGTGATCGATCTACAGAGCCGTCTGCCACTTGTAGTGAGGACTACCTTTTTGCAGAACCCGGGACCGGGCATAGCCACATTCACGTACAGTGACGGGACGAGACAGGCCATCCGCGAAGAGGATCTACGTAGCTTCCTCCCCTAGCTTTTGTAGCACCTGCATGGGGTCAGCTGTCTTCCTGTAGTTACGTCATGACTTTTTTCGATGCCGAACATGTGACTCCTCTTCCAATGCGGATTGGGCATAGTGCTACGGATAGCCTGCATGCCATGTACTGTATGCATGAATGGGGATGTGATAGTCTATCGTTTTCCTGGTATACTTATGGTTTTTTCATGTGATGTGTTGTTTTGGACCCCAACGAATTATCTTGAGACTGAATTCAGAATTCATTTGTGCATCAACACAGTGTTCGAACATCTTTTATTTTTCTGGTTAGCTCTCCATTGACTGTTCTGCTGCTGTATGTGCATGATTTACAGTGCAAGCTGCTGCACCTTCCGCTGACGTGTGGCTGCGTCATCTTTTGCAGGTGCATGCTGTGAATTCATTATAATGCAAAACTTGATGGCTATCCGAATGCATTACAGAAGCCTGATTGATACAACTCCGCGGGCGCTCAAAAGTCTCGTAGCTGAACAACATGAGTGCGACTCGTTTAGTGTCTTGGCACACTTTGGTTCGTCCTGTGTCTCGGTGCTTGAGAAGCAGCGACTTGGTAGACAGTTGAGCTTTGGAGCATCTGGTGTCGGGGGCGTCCTTGGCATGTTTTGTGATCCTGACTGAATTAGGAGCCTTCCTCTCGGTGGTCAACAGAGTAACAATGTTGGGATCATGAAGTCGCTAGCTCGCTCTCTGTTGTCTGACCCTGAGCAGATTCCGAGCCTTACTGAGGCACTTACAGGCTACGCCATTACGGGGGAGTGAGGTGGGCCACGGATAAGGATGATGCAATGATGGTGATGTGCTGCTTCCCGACCTCTGCCTTAAGCTCGACGAGCAACCTTGCCGAAACTCGCCATCAGTCGTTACCTGGGCCTTGCTTAGCCTCCTCCCCCTACCCACTTAAGCAGCCATGACTTTCGCGCTTCTGCCACCTCCGGCTCGTCTGCACACGGGCCTGGATGTTCATGGACTCTGGCGATTGCTGGAAGACCTTGATGGTCGCTCGGCGGCATACATCGCATTATATCTGATGGCACAACTGGAGGCTCTGTGGGACGTGGGAGAAGAGTTTGTTGCATGCCCTGAAGTGCAAGCGTACTGGAAGCGTCTGGAACGCGTCTGCCTGGCCAAATATGTGCCCATCAACCTGAGCACTTTCGAGGGTGAGGAGATACTGCTACAGGAAATGGTGCAAGGCTTGATGTGGAGACTCAGGCTCAGGACCTGGTTCCTTTTCATGGACTGGAAGCTCGATAACCCGTCGCATGATCTGCGAGGTTCGAGGCTGGATCTAAATGAGTGATGTGTCTCAAGGTGCGCTCCGAGGTCCACGGGAGTCTGCGAGTGTCTGCGAGTGAATTCAGGAATTCAGGAATTCACTGCAAGCTCGGAATTATGACGAGCCGGTACAATTTACTGCATGGCCGGCAACCAGGAGCAGCCTTGGCAAGCTTGTCTATGGACGCTGGTACAATGGTGGGATGGGAGCACGATGTCTTTTCTGAATGAAACTGCAAGTTTGTACTTCTGCATGATGAGCACACGAATTTATTACATGGAGTGCAACCTCGGTGCAACTCTGCTACGTCGGATGGGTGGGCTCGGCATGAGATGTGAGATTGAGCCACCATGACGCTATCGGAGCGACTGAAGTAATACATGCATGCATGCCCACTGAATGCTGAGATCGCAGGTAGCACGTAATTAAGCGAAAATGCCAACAGAATGTGTGATTAGCTGCCTATTGCATGACAAGCGACCCCTGTGTCGGAGCAAGTCTATGGACCTCGATGTCTTTTGAAACAGCGAGCAATTGCTCGAAGCAGACACAGGGCTGGGCTGTTGAAGAGCTTGCTGTGTGTGGGTCTTGCCTCGTAAGCTGTTGATTACGTGGCACTTTATCTTATTTTGGCATGATTTATGGACTACTGCAACTCCTGCTTCTGTTCAGCCCTGGTGAGTAGTCTGTTGTTGTGGAGACCGAACTATGCGGAGCCTTGCCGGCCTTGTGCGAGTGTGAGAGTCGAAACCTTGGCGGCTTTATAGGATCCTCGCCTGGCATGTCCGAGTTGTGAGAGTGTAAACCTTGGCGGCTTTCGCGCTTCAATGTGTTTAGCTCAGGATTTGGTGTTTACATGTGTGTTTCTCGGACAGGTTACAGGGGTTGACAGGGGTGACGAATGGCAAAACAACTCCTTGTCCCCTGCATCCCCGAAGCCTTCAAGCCCTAGGCTCATCTGACACCGCAGACCCAAACTCGAAATCACGCAGTCCGAGGTTCTGGACTGCATGATTTGAGACAAGGTGGGGAACGCGGAGCTTCTGACTTGGGTTTGATTTGAGGATGTTTGAGGACTCCCGTGAAGGAATGTTGCAACCCCTTTGCGGGTGGTTTATGGTTCGGGGTTGTTAAGAGTTTTCGAACTTTTGGAAACCCAAGAGGCTCTCCAAGACCTGTCCATTGAGGAACAGTTCGAGAACATATGGTTTTGGGGTTTTGTGCTTGGGTGAGTGCCGCAGCCAATAGAGCTGCAGATTCGCCTGGCCGTCGGCGTCTTTTGTTCTTCGGAGTACCCGGCAGCTACAATAGGCCTGGGTGCAAAAAAGGGTTCCTAGAGGGATGGATTGAATTTGTGAGCTTTTTCGGAGCGGTGCCTGTCAGAGTCTGTTCCTTGTAGCTTAGGGTTGATGATGTGGAACAAAATAACAGTTCTCTGGCCTCATTCCTGAAACAACCCTTTATGCGTCATACAAATTTAACATGCTATATAGGCTCCCCAAATTCAACCTAGGTTCGGGTTGCCGAAGGGGCTCCCAAACACTTTGCGAATGATAAAGAACTCTCGAAGCCAAGGTGGACAGAAAAAGCACGGTTTACTTGGGGGCGAAACTTCGTAGATGCTTTGGCGAAGGCTTAGGAAAGTTTAGGGTGTTTAGGGTTTAGGTTTGCGCCGATATTGAGATGAATACTCTACTTGCCAAGAGGCCCGTCAGAAGAAGTGCGTGAAAGAAGCCTTGCAGGCTTTGGAAACCAAAGGTCCAGCATACGCTCTAGGAAAATGCTGCATCCCCCGCCTCATCTTCCCAAAGCTTAAACGGACCCAGTACCACCCTATAAACCCTCAGCCTTAAAAGCGTATTTCAACTCGAAAAAATGATGTTTTCCGGAAAGCTCGAGAGCTTAGATCCTGTTGCGCTGGGTTTAAGGTTCAGGGTTTAGGGTTTCGCGGTGCTTGCTTTTTGCTTTGCAAGGGCTTTCGAACATGGTTCGCAGGGTTTAGGTACGGTATCAGGATGTATCGGGTTCAGCTCATGTCCGAAGGGTATACCCCCAAGCTAAGAGGCAGAGCGATCCAAGTGGAACGTGGACAGGCCGTCAGCGACTGGGACCTAAATTAAGTGCTGTGCTGCGTAGTGTAGCAGCCCGAACTGCCACGATTGTGGGACTCTTGCTTTCTTTTGGGAGAGTGCTACAGGAATCCTGGTTTTCAATAGCACTCAAGGTGGGGACACTTGCTGCGTTTGCTGGCCAGGTCCTCCTTTCCAGCAGAAGTGATGTGGCCGGGAGGCCAAGCCGCCCACCGCTTCGCATCACATCGCTGTGGGAGCACTCACCAACTGGGCAGGATCTTGGAAGTTGGTAGACAGAACTTCCATCAGCAAGCTCTTCTTGTATGGTGACTTCTGCGCATGTAAGGATCTGAGGATGAAGCATTTCCGGAAATCGAACAGCATTACCAGTCTCGTAGGGCTTTGCCAGGACGACCTCGAAACAAGGGTTAGACGGACTTACGTAGAGAACACAGAGCAAATCATCATAGATGCATTGCCTGCCAGACTTGAGGCGAGTGCTCCTGTCGTCCTTGGTGGCCTAAACCCTCAAAGGGTGCAAAGCCCTATAGCCTCTGCCAGAATTGTCCTACTGTTGGTGGAGTTCGCTTGCGGCACTGTGCAGCAGAGTGTGCACATGCCTGTGCACATGCCCGAGCTTCACCCGCGGAGAAGGTATTGAGCCAGGCTTTCAGGGGTTGCTACTGTTGTTTCAGGTTTCTTGCTAACGGCCCTTCGCCCGAACCCTGCGCCTCGGAGTAGGTTGGAGGGCTCAGGGTTGAGTTTAAGAGCTTCGAACCTTATTAGAGCCTAAATCCTAAAACATGGAGTGGACTGTCCACTCCTGCGGTTCCAAACACCCAGCGGAACTCCGCTTTCACCTTGGTGAGCATTCGGCGAGGGGAAAAGGGTCGTGCAAAAAAAAACATGAGGTGGAGGTCTCAGGAGTGCGCCGGCTTTGAGGTCGGAGGCTGTTGGTTCTGGCTGAGAAAGAAGTTTGGGGCCTGAGTGTTGTAGGCTTCAGGGTAAGGAGTATGCACAAACTTAGGCAATGTTAGGCATCTTTCGATGCCAGTCGCTGCGAGTCGTTCTTTCTCAGGGGGGGAGGTTGACAAACTGCGCGAGACACCCAGCCTCTGTGTCTCAGACAGTCCTTGGCCAGCCATAGCGCATGAGGTGGTTTGCTCTCCGACAGCCTCATTGAGGAAAGACGGTGAGTTCCCAGCCTGGTTCAAGGAGTACATGGAAGCAGCTCTGCAGATGCGGCATGAATATGACAAAAGGATACCTCAAGTCAAAGGCTTGCAGGTGGGAGTTTGGCTACATCCGTCGGCCGGAATTGGCGCACGTCTTGATTCCAGGTGAGCTACTTCAAAGAGTGAATAAGCTTCTTTCACTCTCTTTGGCCGTAGGCCATGAAGGTATCGTGTTTGATGTTCAACGGCAGTTGCATACTGCATGGCAAGCTTTCTGAAGCCAGTGCATGCCTCGCGCAGCGGTTTGCTGTGAACGGACGGGCGCTATGGGTAACGGTGCGTCGGCTTCGAAGTACAAGGCGCAACATGCCGGGAAGCCAAGAAGCAATGCAGTGCAAGGTAAGTCTGCTTCCTACGGTGGATGGAGGAAGATGCCTGGCACCACCTGGGATATACCAAACCCTATGAAACCATGGGGAATATCATCCTAGGTAGTGCAGGATTTCTTCCACCGTAGGAGTGTCCAAAGTCCAAGCATTGTGTATAGAGAAGTTCGGGTCCGCTGATAGTCATGCGATGAACAAAACAAGTGTATACCATGGATGATATGGTGCCTGTGGCAATTATGGTAACCTGTAATCCAACTGCTGTCTAGAATATTAATCCGAGATGCATGATTTCCATGTGTAGATGTTCAGCTCAATACCAGGAATGGGTGGGATGAAGTCTAGGCCGCAGCCTACAGTTCATGCTTGCGATGACAGCAAACTGGCGGGAAACAAGTCTGGTTAAACCTATTGCACCAACGGATGGTTCCCCAAACAATGGAGTGCCCCAGGTTCAACCCGGAAGGAGCCAGGATTTGTGCACCAACCCTGCGTCAGGGGCCCTTGCAGAAGACAGCGTCGGAGGCGATTGGGATTGGGAAAGTGATCATGGACTGCGAACGGCACCATGGTGGAGATGTGCTCGCTCATGGGAAAATGAGTGTATGACTAAGTTTTTGCCGCACCTAGCGGTTTTTGTGGCCTTGGCAAAACATGACAGTTCAAGACACTGCAAGGCTAATAACTGTATAACGTCCAGCACTCCATTCGCTTCATGTCATGCACGAAGAGGATCCTGAACCCCCAGAAACCATCAAGCTTTCGATGATGCCAAAGGCAGACAATCACTTGCCTTGTGTGGAATGTGTCTGTTTCGTGAACGAGGGGCAGAAGACGCTTCTGCCACCAACACCAACATGCGTTCATAGACAACTATAGTACCAATCTCAAGCGTAGAATATGTTCAGTTGACTGGTTTAGAAGCACCTCGTTGGTCAGCTATAGACCAACCAACCAACAATGTTCGCCAAAGAGCCGCATGTCACCTGCTCTTGATCTCCGGGAGACACCTCCCAGGTTTCGATGCTAGAGGCAAACATCACACAGGATGTTTTAACCTGAGCGATCCTTAGCTGATCTCCTAGATTCTTGGGACTCTTGGATTATGAGGCATGTACTATACTTGACCCAGCATAAGTTACCCTCCTTGAAACAAACATAGAAGCTCAGGATGGCCCATTTATAGAGAAGAATCATCTTCCAGCGATCCATCCTCAGCATTCATGTTGTTTCAAGGAGGGTAAACCTTGAGCAGTGCCTGTTCAATTGAATGTTTTGACATGCTTCACAGCCCACTCGCAGAGCAACAAAATCCTGCACAACGACGGAGTTTTGGTGGACCTTATACTAGGTTACTAGGTGGTCCGTTAGCATATATAAGTAGGTGATAACCCGACTTACAAGCCACTTACGGAACTTATAACCCACTTATAAGATCTTCTAAATGGATATTCGTGGGAAATGGACCACCTAGTAGTTTCCACTGTCTGCGGTGAACTAGATGGCCCTGCGTAACTGAGAAGCCTTCGGTGCAGGATTTTGTCCACCAGCACTGTCATATGTGGGATGTCATGGTTGGACGGCATGCATAGGTATTGATTATACAGACCGGCAACAGATAGCATGATGCTGGTTGCCTTGGCAGTCTTGGTGCATTTTGGCTTGACCCAAACACGACCGACAGGATGGGAACACATCTATGCTGGCAGAGGAGGCTAAAGCTCATGGCAGATCCTTGTGTTGCTTGAACACGCCTTTATGGTTTGGCATTCAATAGACCTTGAGTCTTCTGTCATTCTGTCATGGAGAAGTTCCGTAACAAAGGTTTTTGTTTTGGCACATGCAGAAGACATGAGTTGCCGAAAATCTAATTGCATCTTTCTTCAACATGGAATGTAGGAGAAAGGCTGCTTTTTCCACATTTCTGGGGGTTTGCTGTGGGCTTCCACTGCTTCACGCTCATTGGAGGTGCTCGACGCAAAGAGCTTTAACGAACGTGGATGGCAAAGACTAGTTGGCGATCAAATAGAAGGTGCCATTGAAGATTTTGACAAGGCCATCGAGTTGGACCCAAGTTACGCAGCTGCATACAACAATCGTGGCATTGTCTGCGAGTTGGCTGGACGCGATGACTTTCCCTTGGACTATGATGAGGCTGACCGCTTGACTTCGGAAACACCAGAAGTGCAAGAAAAGCTTCGAAAGGCTCGAAAGTGGAAACAGATCGGCTGGAAAGGTCGTGGGGAAGTGGAAGCTATGCAGAAAGCTCAGGATGCCGACTTTTTGATCTCCTTCACCACGGGCGACAGGACGCGCAATGATGAACTCCTTCGAACTTTGAAGAACGAGAAGGTCCTGTTTCGTGGAGAGCTGCGCTCCGTGACCTTTTGCACCGACAAATCCTTGTCTATAGCGCATAGGGTGGTTTGCTCTCAAACAGCCTCATTGAGGAAAGACGGTGAGTTCCCAGCCTGGTTCAAAGAATACATGGAAGCAGCTTTGCAGACGCGGCATGGAGTATTGATCTTGAATATGACAGAAGGATACCTCAAGTCAAAGGCTTGTAGGTGGGAGTTTGGTTACATCCGTCGCCCTGAATTGGTGAACGTCTTCATTCCAGGTGAGCCGTGCAAGATTGTGCCTTGGGAAGAGCTGGCCCAAAATGCAGAACTTTGCCAAGAAGTTTTCAACTCCGAGGGATTTTCGGAGGCTATGATGTCGCAAGACCTGAAGCAAGAGAAGGCCAAGACCTTGGAGCAGATGAGTAAGCTTGCAAAATTTGCCAAGGAGCAGGAGTTTCAGGCCTGGTGTGAGCTGCCTCTTCGGCAGGTGGCCTATGCATTTTCCAAGCGCCACTTCGAGGAGGAGAAGGAGGAGGAGAGCGAGAAGATCAGCGAGAGCAGCTTTCAATTGGCTCGGGTTTACCTGGAAACTGGATTCGCAGCGAGGGCCAAGGAGTTGTTGGAGAAGCTTTTGGGATCCCATCAAACGGGAAACCTGGGCCTAGACAACCCTGGTTTGGCGAATCTGTTGACGTATCTTGCAAATGCGCACGGTGCCTTAGGTGATGATAGGCAAAAGAAGGAGATGCTGGAGCGTGCGTTGAAGCTTCTGGAACAACACTGTGGCTCGGTCGATCCAGAGGTGGCCATTACGTTGGTGAATCTTGGAAGCGCCCACGAATCCTTGGGCGATTACAAGATGGCCAAGGAGATGCTGGGGCGGGCTTTGAAGATTGAGGAACACCACTATGGCTTGGACCATCCAGTTGTGGCGAAAACCTTGGTGAATCTTGGAAATATCCATGGTGACCTGCGCGATCAAAGGCAGAAGAAGGAGATGCTGGAGCGTGCTTTGAAGATTCTGGAACAAAGCTATGGCTCGGACCATCCAGAGGTGGCCATTACGTTGACGAATCTTGGAAATGCCCATGGATGCTTGGGCGATCACAGAAGCGCCAAGGAGATGCTGGAGAGGGCCTTGAAGATTAAAGAACAACACTATGGCTCGGACCATCCGGAGGTGGCGATTGTTTTGGTGAATCTTGGAGCTCCCTACGGACAATTGGGCGCTCACAGCCAGACGAAGGAGATACTGGAGCGTGCTTTGAAGATTTTGGAACAACACTATGGCTCGGACCATCCAGATGTGGCCAAGACGTTGACCAATCTTGGAAGTGCTCACCTCAAGTTGGGCGATCACACCAGGGGCAAGCAGATGCTGGAGAGGGCCTTGAAGTTTCAGGAGCGTTACTATGGCTCGGAGCATCAGGTGGCCGATACGTTGGACAAACTTGTAGCTGCACGGCTTTTGCTGGACGATTTGGACGCTGCCAAGGAGATGCTGGAGCGCTCCGTGCAGATCGAAATGGAGTTTCTTTCGGCACTCATCGCCTCGCCAGGACCTTGGTTTGTGTGTCCGAGTGTTTTGTAAACGCTGTCGTGTTTTGTGAAGAAACTGTAGCAGCATGTTTGTGCATGTGCTGTTAGGAAGCGTCTGAAGTCAGAAGGAACTGACTGTTTTGCAGTTTGCTAGTGCTTTTACTTGGTAGGATGTCTGCGTGAGTTGCAGCCAGTTGCCTTCTACTCACTTCGTGCTTGCCGCCCTCCGTTCGTAGTCGGACTGAGTGATAATGAGCTTGGAAGATTGCTTAGAAGACGTTTGAGAGTGCCTCATTGCCCACAAGCTGCGCTCTCCACAAAAATTGAAGCCAAGCTTACGGGGCCAAGTCTCACCATTCCTTCACGGAGTTCCGCGGTTACCCACACATTCTTATACGGTCGTCAGATGAATTGACTACCAGGCCGAAGATTCAGGATGTTTCCATTAAACCAAACATGACTACTTCTCTGCCATGGGTGCATGCTGAGGCGTACTCATCCCCTTGGAGAAGAGGTTGGCACTTGAGGCGCGGCGCAAATCAGGGCGTAGGGTGGCAGGGTAAGATCAGGAGAATGCACTTTCGAACGATTGGCTCCAAGGTGACCTTAGTCTGAGCCATGGCGTGGGAATGAGGGCCATTTCTTAAACAGACGAGTGGGTGCCGTCTCCTCTCAAGTGTTTGGAGAACATCTATGTAGGTCACCTACCAAGATTGAAACTCTTCAGGCAGATAGGCCCCGGTATCGTTTGTGCCTCTATGTTTCTCAGATAGAGGTTGCAAGCAACTCTCCAGCCAGGAAGCTGTTGTTCTTTTCCTTGGTGAAGATCCACTGCAGGGTTCATTAACAACACTCTCACATCTCTTTCCGTTTTGTTTGAGAGAACAGATGGAAAAAGACGGGGTTACCGTGAAGCCCACAATCGTCGCGCAAGAATTCCAGGAGCTGGTGAATGTGAGATGCGAGGGCGAATCCAAGGGGGCTTGTGCCTCGAAATGCCCGAGAATCTTCTATTGTTATGAATATGAATAAGTTTCATGGCTATGGCTCAGAACACCGAAGGAACGGGGTTTTCGCTGCCGCCGGGCACGGCTACATGAGTGACTCGTGACCCGTAGGGAAGAGCGGAACACCCCCTGAATCCTGGAGCGGATTCCTCGTAGCTTCGGAGCCACTTGCGGGTTGAATGGGGAAGGAGGATGAAATGAACGGTAATTGCGCTGTGCAGAGAAATCGATGCAAACCTGACCGGTCCAAATCTCGTTCCTTCATAGGCTTTCATTCTCGACCACCTAACACCAACCCACATCCACCAAAACAGCACCTGATGATTCTTGGTACACAATCCATTAAAAGGCTCGATGAAACATCTCCTAGAGTTCACAATTTCCCATGGCAGTGGCCTGTTACAATGGTGAACTGGCCCACAGGGTCATGCCGCCATGCCCCTCAAAGGGCTTGGCCCCTATTGAGGTAAGGCTTTGACCCATCACCACCTCCAACCATTGCATTGCATCATCAAGCATTTTCGACTAATAAGTGGCAATCTTTCGCGGTTTGTTGGAAAATCCTGGACTCATCACCTGAGGATGCCTAAGCAGCTGCATCGGCCGAGCTGCCGAGCTGCTGAGCCGTGGGGATAGCGCCGTATGTTGAGGACTCTCGCAAGGTGGCCTTGGCCTTTGCCTGAATGTTGCGTTGATGAGAAGTAGTATGTGAAAGGATGTTGTGGATCTCAAGGGGATCTCAGGGCCAAGGTATCTCACCACCAGTAGCAAGCAACAAAGTCCATACTATAAGAAAAAAAGGTTTTCCTGCTCCCCGGAGGATGCAATGGAAATTCCACACGCACATAGATAGGTCGATGAATTGAGTACCAAGCAAAAATATTGGGGATGTTTTGGCCCAACAACCAAACATGGCCACTTCTCATCTGCCAATTCTGCGAGGACGCGTGCTCATCCCGAAGATCTTTGCGCCTGTGGTTCGAGGCTCACGGGCATTGGGGGTAGCTTTGGGGAAGAACAACAAAGGGAATGCCAGCACCCGCCAAAGGGTGCTTAATAGACACCCCGAAGAGATAAATGGTACCTACTGCTCTCTTTAGTCTGGAATGGTTGGCTTCTGTTGGTTTCAAGGAGTGATCTAAAATTGGCCAGGGCGACATAGGCAGTTTCAAGTGGAATTGTGGGTTTCAAAGCATTGATGGCAGTACAGGTGCCCCAAATCTCTTTCCAGACCCGGAAGACCACACGCAGACGCCGGAATGTTGTTGCTGGTTGGGCCGCGCATTTGACATGCCAACAGGGTTTAAATGCAAACAAATGAGCGGCCCACACAGCATTCAATGATGCAGATGTTGTAGAGCAGGAGGGCCGCATCATTTGCATCATTTACGGCATGTTGGCCCGCTCATTTGACATGTCAGCGGGCCCAAAAAGAACTGCAAATGAGCGGACACCACAGCACGCAATGATGTAGATGATGGCGCCATATGGATGGGGTCAGGTACATATGTGGCTTTGCGGAAATGATGCGTTCACAGCAAGATCTCGTAACGAAAGCAAGTTGTTGTTGAACGGCCCTTCTTTGGATCCATGCGGGCGCATGTCCTCCCATGGTGATGGTTTCCACCGAAGAACATCGCGGTACGTGCCACCTGTGGTTCCAAGGGTTGTAGAACGACAGTCTTGACCAAGGCCGGGGCATTGCCATGTTTGGGATCCCATGTTTGTAGAAGATCAGACTTGCTTGTAGAAGATGGCTTGTGCTTTGAGTCTTAGATTTCAGAGGAGTTAATCAAGATAATGCTTGGGACGCCAAATGGGACCTGCCGATTCCAGGGCTGCACGATTCATGGGGGTCGTCATATGGGTTCGTCAGGGTCGTCAACAAGTCGCCAGGGTTGTCAGCGTGCAGCGGGTCGTTGGCCAAAATTTGACAACAAACGTTGCCAACACTGATCCTAGGGTGATGTGTTGCCTCGTTTGTACCAGGCCTTTTCAGAGATGGTCATTCTCAGGAAATAAGTGGGCCGTCTTCTCTTCTCAATTGCGTCGAGATAATCTATGTAAATCGAGTATTTGATGCCTACCACGAAGATCTCGCTTGCCAAGATTTTTTTTTAATTATTTTGTAGTTTTCAGGCAGATGGTCCCTGGGTATTGTTTGTACCTCCATGTTTTCTCAGATGCTGGTTCTAAGCCCCTCTCCAGCCAAGAAGACTTTCTTTCCCTCGGTGAATGTCCACTGTTGGATTTCTCATTGAAGGGTCACATAAATTTTGTTTTGCACGGGAACAGCTGGAAAAAGACAAGTTGCAGGTGAAGAAGCGTGCCACCCAAGAACCCCAGGGGTTGGTGGATGTGAGATGCGGAGGCGAATCCAAAGCCTCGCATTTCGGTGAACCTTCCAGTTTGATGAGTGTTGGCAATGGCTATAAAAAGGGGGTACCAAGAATGCATCAGACATATTTTCGGCAGGGCACGAGCTGGTTTTCAAGGGGTGATCGAGTTTGAGCTATGGCTATGGTCATTTTTTGTCATCTTGCCATCCCTTGAACTAACCAATGGTCTTGGGCAAGGAGACTGGTGAGTGGGTTGGGTGTAAGGATGCCAAATGAGTCACCTGGTGCCCGGCTCTGGCCCAGGTTTTGCCCGGTTCGTGAAGCCTTGCTGAATCTCACGGAGAAGCGTGTGTTCTTGAGGCACGAAGATGGGAGGTAAGGGTCGTTCTCAGTGATTGAGAGGCCCATTTCCTCCCTTCGGTTGGAGAACATCTCGGGGAAGCAGGTCATGAAGGTTATTCCCTATCAAACAAGTCAGGAATCAGGTGTCTACTCAAGATCATTGAAACTAGACGTCGTGGACGCGACACACTTCCGCTTCTCCGATGCATTACGACGGGCAGTTCTGTACCTGCAGGACAAGTTAATCCAAAAGAAGATCCTCCAGAGATGCTGGGCTCAGGGCAGCTTCTCGAAGAGACTGCTGACCGTTTACTGCATTTTGCTGCGCTGCCATCCAGGTCAGGCCATCAGGCTCATGGACTCCCTGCTGGCAGCGACGCCAGTGCTACTCATTTGCAGCACTGCGCGTTTTTGTTTTAAACTCGTGCCTTGTGATATCAGGCCGCGCGAACAAGATGCATAACTAAGTAGGACACAGCTAGAGCCGGCACGGCACGGCCCTGCAAAGCATGCTTGCTGATCCAGACACATAAGTCCACTACGATGCTTCCCTGCACGCACTTGCAGTGTGCTCGCGCAGTTTGCCCAAAGGGCGCCACCTGAGCAAAGGCAAAAGCCGCTCGACTCTAGACTTCGCGAAACTACGCCGTCAGGGCATACTTTTCTGGTTTCCAGGCAATTGGCCGGAACCATTGGAGATACACGTATGTCATCTTGGGTGTGACCAGCATGGCTCTTGATACTGCAAATATGCTACAGGTTCCAAAGTCGAATCATGCCACCAACATGCTGCTGCTCTTCTTGTTGTGCAGAAGCACTACTTTGGTGCTGGATCTCACGCCAAGATGCCAGAAATCAACATAAACACAGGTGCGTTTCGTGCGAGAAGCGTAGGCTTGTATTTCGACTTAGCTACGACCTGGGATGCGTGTGAACTAACATATCGACCAATCTTTTCCCAGCCATTGTAGGTATCAGAGGCACAGCGCACGAAACGACAATCAGAAGAGGCAGCTTTGAGCCCCTGTTTAGGGTTTAGGGTTTTAGGGTCTAGGGTTTAGGGTTTAGGGTAGCACCCCTTTGTCAGACCAAGTAGGTCTGCTCCATCAATTATGTCTCCATCACCTGGGCTCGCCTTTCAAGGGCTCTCCTCTGGCCTTCTGGCATCTGCTAGGAACTGCGAAGCAGGACTCTTAGTTTTGAGATGGCTGGAGTGCCACCGAACACCGCCAGATCTGTCGACAATGGCATGGGCCCATGTGCAGCGTCTGTTTGCGGACTCATGCGGCGGGTGCTGTACTCTGTGCTGTTTTCATTCTCCGAGACTCTCGCTTCCGGAATCCAGACAATAGCAGTCCCCTCCTCTTCTTGTGATCTTCCGCGGGTGGCTTCAAGTCCGCGCTCCATGGAACAGCTATAGGATCAGCCAGACCCTAGCCAAGACCAACTACAAGCCTGCTGGGCTAATTGACGATGATGGAGTTGCATCATGTGCACAGCCCTTCCCTAAATTACCTCATCGAGCTATGGCTCTGGGATTTGGATGGCTATGGTGCCTCCACCTTTTGGTGGACTGCCTGTGCTTTGTCGGTGTTTGGAAGATGCAGTCAGAGTTTCTCTGCCGTGCTCAGCACATGGTGGGCATTGAGCAAGCCTACGAGGTCAGGTATGTTCAGGTTCAAAGAGTCGTGCGGCCAATGTTTGTGAAAGTGAAGCTGGAGGACTGGTGTCCTGCTTGCAGTGCCTGCCAGGACCTAGAACCGAGTTGCAACATTACATTCAGCGATGGCCGGCCGCCCTATGTCTGCTTTGCACGGACAGGAGACGGAGACATCATCAGGCGCTTCCCGGTTGTCGCGAGCATTGGGTATTACTTGGTGGCTTTCTATTTTATTCTATCTGGGATTCAACTTATCTGCTCAGCGCTTGGAACTTGTCCTCTGGTTGCATCGACTGTTCTGGCAGTTTTGACTGCCTTCGCTGGCGGCACAGGAGTGATTTGCAATTTGGCGCCGCAAAGATCCACATACCTCAAGATCGCCCTAGGTGTGATCCTGACGCAGTGCCTGTTCCTCATCGTCTTGATCTTCATGTCCGAGGGCCACAGCATTAAACTTGGTTGGGTCGACTGGTACAACCTCTTGGCATTTGCCCTGAACACCTTCGCCTTAAAAGGACCTGAAGTCTTGGCCGGATTCTTCGAGGTTGACCTGCTGTGTTGCGTGCCTTGGCTTCCAGGTTGCTTCAATCAGTATGGGCCTCAAGGCTGGGTGCCTCTCGACCGCGCCATTTTTGCTCAGCCTTTCGACCGCGTGGGAGAGATGAGATCGAGGCAATCAGCCATTCCCTTTATTCACGACAGCGACGCTGAGATCAGTGATCACAAGGCCGGCCGGTGCTGCAACTAAAGTGTGCCGACTGGTTCTGCGTGCCTCAGCGTTATAAGAGCCTTAATGGCCAGCTTGCGCAGAGCCACTTTCGAGCTTCGAAGTCTAATGTGCAGGAGCAGCTGTCAAAGTCACCGGATATGCTAGCAGGCAGCTTTGTCTGAGGTCTTAAAGGCGTAGGTTTTCCACCTGTACAGGTGCTTCCAGTGGTGGAAGATATGTCGCAGAGCTCCGAGTTGAACTGCCGTGGCTGGCGCTTGCTCTGCGAGGGGGAGCCGTTGAAGGCGATTGACGAGTTCTCCAAGGCCATCGACGTGGACAAGAACTGTGCCGAGGCCTTCAACAACAGAGGCATCGCCAAGGAGATTGCCGGCCAGAATGAAGCTGCCCAACAGGACTACGAGAAGGCGGACAGCTTGGCAGCGGAGGGGAAGAGCGGGAAGAGGAGCCTCGAGTTGAACAGAAAGTGGAAGCCCATTGGCTGGCAGGCCCGTGGTGAGCCCGAGGCCAAGTGCAAGGCGGAGGAGGCCGACTTTTTGCTCTCCTTCGCGAATCCCGATGCTGCGAAGAACAACCAAATCTTGACCTTGCTGCAGCAGGGTGTTTGGTTCGGCGACCAGTGGGGCTGCTGGGCTGCATGCTGCACTCGTACACTCCCTTCTGCTATTCTGCCATTCTCCTTGTGAGCCTTTCAGAGTGTTTCAAACAATGCCCCATAGCTGCCGAGCACCAAGGTCCAGCCAGCTTCTGCCACGACAGATCCCTCGGCATGGGGGTGCATGTAGTCGGTGGCGAGGCGCAGGGGAGACAGGATCCGCGATTCACGGACCTTGATGTGGAGAAGGAAGTCGGCGAGTTTCCACGTTGGTGGCCCGGCACAGAAACACGGTCTTCCCCTCTTGTATCACTACCAAAGTTCTTGGTCTCTGATCTCCGGGCCTTTAACTCGTAGCGGCTCATAGCAGTTCGGTGGCCCTGGCTTGCATCGGACAAGGTTCGAGCACTACAAGCAGGCGGCCGAGGCGACCCGGCATGGCATCCTGATCTTGCAACTGACCTCGGGCTATTTCAAGTCAGGGGCTTAGGCTTGCTTGGGTGTTGCAGCCAGGGGCAGGCTATTCGCCCTGTCCCTGTGTTTTGGCGAGGTCCAAGGCCTGCCGTTGGGAGTTCGGCTACCTACGTCAGCCCAAGCTGGTCCACGTCTTTGTCATGAGCGCCCAGGGCCCGTGGATCGTGACCTGGCAGCAGCTGGCTGCAAATGTCGGCCTTTGCCGACAAATCTTCGGAGGGCTCGAGAAGCTTGATGCCACAGAGCAGGAACTGCAGCAGCGTTTCCGGCAGTTTGCTTCAAAGTCTCATGACGTTTCGAGCATGGTGGCAGTATATCGTGTGACCGAAGCCGCAAATCTGGTCGGAGCCCAAGAGCACCAATCATGGTGCGAATTGCCCTTGTGGGAGGTCGCCTACGCCCTAGCCATCAGTGGCCCCGGCCAAGAGAGTTTGCATGGCATGGCGTCTGCTGAGATGCTCATGACGCTGTGTGTAGCGACAGGGCAAAGCAAGCGTGCTCTAGTTTTGGGGAGCCATCTGCTGGAGATCGTGCAAAGAAAGTTCGGGCCAGACGATCCTGTTGTTGCTGGCATGTTGAACAACGTTGCAACTGCCTATGGAAAAATCGGTAACCAGCAAGAAAAGACAAAGCTGCTCGAGAAGGCACTGGCAATTGTGAAAAAGCGCTTTGGGCCAGAAAGTCTGGAAAATGTCTCGATCCTGAGCAACCTGGCAGATGCTTATGCAGCACTGGGAGACTTCGACAGAAAGAAGCAGCTAGGCACCACAGTGCTGGGCATCGTGAAAAAACACTATGGGCCTGAGGATGTGGAGGTCGGCCATGCCCTGTTTCTGTTGGGAAGTGCCTTGTGGCAGTTGGAGGAACTGCCGGAAGCCAGAAAGCACCTTGAGGAGGCCCTGAAGATTCGCGAGAAGAGCCTAGGAGCTGAGCACCCCGAGGTTGCAGAAACAATGAACAACCTTGGAGGGGTTTACTTGCATTCAAAAGAGGCGGGGGACCACCAGAGGGCGAAGGACCTTTTGAAACGTGCCTTGAAGATCAAGATGATGCATCTGGATCCGAACCACTTGGGACTTGCCAAGGTCCTGACAAACTTGGGACATGCGCATGCACGATTGGGCGACCCAGGGATGGCCACCGGCCGCCTCACAGCTGCCCTCCGGATCAAGGAGCTGCACTACGGCCAAGAGCATGTGGAGCTTGTTGCCCCATTGGTCAACCTTGGACTGGCATACAGAGACGTGGGCTTCCATGAGCAGCAGAGGGCTGTCCTGCAGCGGGCCCTCACGATTGAGGAGCAGCATTTTGGGCGTGAGCACTGGAAGCTTGGCAGGACTCTGGGGTCCCTTGCCAATGCACACTCCGCTCTCGGTAGCCATCGGAGCCAACAGGAATTGCTTCAGCGGCAGTTGAATATCGAAGAACAGCGCTACGGCCAGGACCACCAAGAGGTCGCCATCACATTGGTCAATTTGTCCACTGCCCATTCCAAGCTGGGTGAGCTTGCGCTTGCAGAGAAGCTCTTGAAGAGGGCGTTGCCAACCCTTGCACGCAACGAGGGCGTTGATCCTTCGGCTCTGGAACTTGCCCAGACGAACCTTGCTTCTTTGAATCGGTTGCAAGTTGCCGCCAGTGCCGAGGGAAGCCGCATGCTCAAAGAGGCACGGGAGCACTTCGGCTCTGAGCTTCAGGATTCCGCAGCTCTAGCAGATCTGGCCTGTGACCCAGGCGAAATCCACTTGCAGGTTGTGCTGCAGGAGCATGTGTTGGAAATCGAAGCCAATCGGCATGGCGAGCTCGAGATGGTTGCTGACCGGCTACGATCTCTTAGCCGGCTGTACGAGCACGTGGGCGAGCGGCAGAAGCGGAAAGAAGCATTGCAGCGGGCCCTGCAGATCGAAGAGCGACGGAAGTCGCCAGAATTCCGAAAGCTGGCAGAGACGGTGCGTATGCTTGCTGACCCGAGACTTTTGGACAACTGTGGCCAGCAGATGATGCTGTGGGCTCGTGCGCTTGACATTCTAGAGCAGAACTTCGGTGCAGACGACGCCGAAGCAGCAGACTTGCGGGCCAACATGCGTCGGCTCCATTACAATATGCTTTTGCAGGCGCAAGTTCCGTGCTGCAATCGCGTGCTCAACTTCTCAACTTCTAAGCAGGGCATAGCAGGGTGGAGCCTTTAAACTCCAAGGTTTGCTGGAGCCTTAGGCAGCTGCAACATGATCGGTGTTGGGCCCGAGGCTCTGAACTTCTGTTGGGTCCTTATCAAGTCACTTAAAGCACGGCAGGTTCAGGGATTTGTACCACAGACAAGTTTCAGAAGCCACTTCGTAGAGCCATTGTCTGAAGCCAAGCTTCCAAGCTTGGCAGGCAACCCTCTACAAAGCTGCTCTCGAAGCCTGCAGCGACATGCTTGACCTGGGGGACCAGTCGTCCTTGGCCAGGGCGAAGATTGAGGAGGCCGGGGTTCTTCGCCCTCACTTTACTGTACTCCTTATATATGACAACGCCCCTACATCCGAAACTCTGATCTCCGAGCTCCTCTGCCCTAGACCGTAATTAAAGCCTATACCACCTCTGACTCTACCCTATACCCTGAACCGAACCTGGCACCACCCCCTCCCCCCCCGAGGCGGAGGACGTCCTGAGGGCCACTCCAGCTTGGCTCGCAAGCTGAGGTAAACTTGGTGAACTCGAATATGGACTCCTCGTCCAAGTGGAGGTATGGAAGGGTTTTGTGATGTTAGCATGTTCTTGCAGAGATTGTGATGCAGGTTTGAGATTGACTAGTTGATTGACAAGTTGTAGAGCTGCCTGTGCAAGAGACTCCATGGAGTGCAAATTTAGAGTTTCTCCGGCGCAAGTTGTGACAAGAGGCCAAAATAACACCCCAAAGTGATGAGCATTTGCACGCTTTGGAGTCCTATGGAGACTTGCTACGAGGAGGCTTAGAGAAATTGCAGCCGCGGACCATTACAGCCTGTGGAACGGTAAGCTTTGCAGGGTTTAGGATTTGTGGGCTTTAGAGTGTGTAGTGCTTCGGGTTTGTAGTGTTTCAGGGTTTCGGGTTTCTTCTGATTTATTCACGTCCTTCGACATAGTTTTGCTTACTGATATTGCTTCGACTGAACTAGTGAGTCGCGTACTCGTACGTTCGATCCTTTAGTAGCCACGAGTGCTGCTGGAGGGTTGACTTGTTGTCTTGTGGAGCTTCCCGGCTGGTTGCGAGAGTCGTGGATGCAAAAAGGCAATGGCCGGAGCCACGGTTTAGGGTGTAGGGTTTAAAGGCCTGGTAGCGGGTGAGGTAGTACCGAATGCTCAAGCGGACGGCCGTAGTCGGAGAGACCGGGGCTTGTAGAGAGGGCGCGGCACAGCAGCGCAGTTCTAAGCTGAAGCTCTCTTTTTCAACGAGCTGCGCGTCCGATTGCTCGTGATGAGGAGCTCAAGTGCTATTTCACTTGCATGCCCCCTTTCCCCCTCTTGTTCTGAGATCAGAAATTCGTCTACTTATCCTATTTACTTCTCCGCACTTGTGCCCTGCTGTAGCGGCTGAAGTCCTTCAGCCTTGCGCTTTCGGGCGGAACGCATAGCATCATCTTCCACAATTCGCCACTGATGTTGCATACGGTAGTAGAGCTCGAGTTCCCGATGTTCCTGAGACTTCGTCAGGGCATTGGCAAGCTGTGCTTCTGAATGCACCCACCGGATGATTACTCCAGTCGTCTGCTGGGAGGCCTTCAAGCTGAGGAGCTCGATGTTCGACCTCTTCTCGGCGCCGTTGATGCTCATCATGGCCGTGGTGAGCTTGTCGTAGACATTGCGTGAATCTGTGACCACACAGCCGGGGACTCTGGACACCACGGTGTCCGGCCGTCGAAGATCCACCTGTCCGTAGATCATCTCGCTCCACTGGTACCTCACGTAATAGAGCGCGTCTTCGCCATTGACTGCTGCCGCCGATTCGGCGGCCCCGGGACTCCTGCATGCACGGTCAATCCTGGTCGAGTGCCACCCTATAGGACTGATAGGACAGACTTCACCTTGCAGTAACCGACCACTGGAGGCACCTATCAGAATCCCTTGAGTGCTGCCCCCATCAATCCTATTGCGATCAGCTGCATCTACCCACGCGTAGAAGTGCATCTCGGAATCCTGGCGTGTGATAAGCATAGCGTGGTCCTTGCGATTTCGGACATTCTCCAGGAGAGCGTTTGCGTTTATAAGTGTTTCAACCGAGGACTTGTTCACTTCGGACAAAAGCAGTCCTACATCCGCTGACACATGGGGAGCTACTTGTTGCGCATGCCAACTTAACCCTCCTAACAACGCACGCAGTCTTGTCTTCTCATGATCCGTAGTTGGGGCCTTCCGGTCGCGCCTCCGAGTGGCGCTCAGGTGTATGGCTTCAATGCCATCCACGTACTTGGGTTGTGACAACTTGAAGCCCTGTGGACAAGTCTCAATCTGAACTCCACATTGAACAAAAGAGTCCTTATCCCAGTCACCCCATTTGAATTTCTCTTGAATGCGCTTCAAGATACCCTGCCACTCAACATCGGAATCCCCGCCTGCAAACATGAAATCATCCACATGCCCTGAAATCATCCCTCTCACCTGACCCTCTTTGCGCAACACCCACGCACAAGAGTCTGACCACAACCGCTCCAAGCCGAGGCTTTCCAGGAACTCTGCTACTGTCTTGTACCATTCCAATGGCGCATCCACCAATCCGTAGCAGGCTCTTTTCAAGCGGGTCACTGTCCCTGCAGCTATGTTCATGGCCTGGCAGATCTCGTCGCACGGGATGCAAAAGAGCTCCGAAGGGTATTCCCTGCCTTGCAAGAAAGCCCCGCTCACATCTCCCTTCATCAGTCTCCATTTCTTGTTTGCTGCTAATTGCAACATCAGTTGACGGGTCTGGCGAGTCATCACTGGAGCTGTAGTCATTCTATGTTCGTAGCTGAAGTCTTGGTAGCCTAAGAGCACTGCGCGTGCCTTAGGCTTGACCCCCCCCATCGTCACGCACCTTCCAGGTGAGTATCCATCTCATATTGATGGCTTGCTCCTTGGCCGGCCTGAGTTCCGGCGGAAAAACCTCGAAGGCCTTGGCGGCGATAATGTTTTTCACCTCCACTTGTTTGGCCTCCTGGAGGCGAGCCCGGTCCTCTGGGCTTAGCCGCTTCTCACTCACCTCAACGGCCTTGCGTTTCAAGGCCCCCACAAAGAAGCTGCTCAGGTTGCGAGAGGCAAGCTCCATGCCTTTCCGACTCTCAGGTAGGGGAATCTCCACTTCCACGGCGTTAGCCTCATCCGTCCAGAGGCTTGTGTGCTCGGCCAACCAGGCTGATTGCGGCACCTCTTCCCACCAATGCTGGGCTGTAACGTGCAGATCCCAGTCCGGCTGAGGTTGCTCCACCCGCCTAATCCTGCTTGGCTGGCTTGTACCCGTGGCCATGTCCTCGGGCATCTCGGCGTCCTCTGGTTTGACCTCTGATGCTGGTCGCTTGGCGGTAATCCGATGACGGACTGGCTGGTGTTCACGTGTGGGGTCCTGGGCTCGCTCCCACTCGGCTTCGCTGGGTACCTTTGCACAAGTGTCCTCGTACTGATTGCCGCCCACCTCCTCGCATCCACCAGTTCTTCGCGCTGACTGGCGGGGCGTAGCTGCTCCAGACTGCACTTCAGGAGGCTCCTGCCTCTCACACACCAAATGGCGTGTGCGGGCCTCCGGTGCCCATCCTCATCGGCTCTTGTCTCTGCTGCCAGAACTCTGGCAGGCCCCAAGAATCGACCCTGGTTGGTCCCAGGATGCTTCTTACTCTTGTTAGACTCTTGAGTCCGCCAGAAGTACACCAGGTCTCCTGGTTGGTAGTTGCAGGTGGGCCGAGTTCGTGAATTCATGGCCCTCTGTATCCTCTGGTGTGCGTTCCACTCGGCTAGGGCCTTCTCGGCCTCTGCACGCAGAGTGGCTTCACGCTTGAATTCCTCCAATGGCTTGTTGAGGACGGGCTCCTCGGTCACCGGATCTAGGCGTGTGATATGCCTTCCCGCATGGTCGGGACTTTGGCTGCACGGGAGAAGAGCCCCGGACCATCTCCCGTTGATTGAACGAGGCCACGGCTTGGCTCAGCAACTCCTCCGCACTGACATCCTTATCCACTTCAGTCATCTTGCTCATCAAAAGCTTCAGTCCTTGAATGGCCTGCTCGGCCACTCCAATTTGCCAGTGCGCTTCACCAGGAATGATATCAAGATATGTTCCATGTGGGTCACAGAACCCTTTTACCGCAAAAGCCCTGAAGCTACCAGCCGGGTCGAGCCTCAGTGCCTTTGGCTTGCCGAAATGTTGCATCCAGCCTTCCAGGAGGAAGTTCAAACACAGAGCGGCCGTGGGGGCTTGGGCTTTCCCTTTGGTGAGGATCTTAGCAGCTCGAGAACGCGATCCCTCGTCCACGATAACCATGAAATTCTGTTGTTCTCCCGTCGTGGGATGCACCCAATGCCCTATGTCACAAGTCAAGGTATGGAACTTGGGCGGGAGAGGTTCCAAGGAGGCCACCTGTCTCGGTTGAACCCTGGCCTTTTTCTTCACACACGGCACACCTAAACTGTTTGGCTAACTCCAACACTCGGGGGTCCGCATTCCTACGCTTCAAGGCTTCGAGCATGTGACGTGTGCTACCATGTCCGGTGGCTGCACGCAGCAGATAAAGCTTGCTGATTTCTTCATCCTGTTTGTTGTTCTTTTGCTTCGGGGACCACTTCCACAACTTGGGACTCCTAAGAACATAAGCGGTTTCGGAAGGTTCTTGGAGGGGACCTGGGAACCCGAGCTGGTTCAAATGTTCTTTGATCTCGGGGCCCACAACTGCCCATCCCCTGCTACAGTAGGCGCTCAAGGTCACACGGTTGCCCTTCCAGTTCTGAGTGCCATGCCACTTATGTCCAGAAAACTTCACTACTTTCTGAAAGGCATCCAACTTCTGACCCTGAAGCCAATGCCCTTGGTGCAACCGCCTACCTGGCGTCCCTGAACTTCCGAAGTCCGAAGAACCCTCAATCCAAAGTTCTCCCTCCTCATACCTACCCAGTCCTATCATGTAGTTGGGAGTATGAGGCAGGTTATGCACGTCCCTGTGAATATCAAGGTGGCAATTGTCGTTCACCACGATGGACGTACAACCTACTGCTTCGGGACTCCAGTGTTGCAGATAACTCACCAAGTATTTGCACACCTGGGGGTAGGCTTGGCTTTGTTTGGTCACTCCGTAGTGGTTTCCATGGGAGTACAGGCCGAAGGCAATGTATCTGGGTTGTTTCTCTCGAAGAGCGCCTCGGTGGTGTTTGGAGGTTTTGTAGGGAAGCTGTTCCAGGATCTGTTCACAGGCCTGATGGTCGAAGCTCTTGCTGTTCAGAAGGTTCCGAGCCTGAGCCTCGAGGTCTTTCCTACCCGCTTCATCAACTCTAAAAACTTCACCCGGAACTTCCTGAGGGCTGCCTAGACATTCTAACCCATCAATCGGCCCAGCTTCCTCCCCTACTTCATGAGCTTCCATGATCCCTGGAACTTCTTCTCTACCTAACAAACAACACGCACAAGCTGACACCTGGCCTCCCTGGTGGGTGAGCTCATGTACAACAGCTCTGGCCGCTCTGGCGGTATACTCAGAAGGATACTGTTCCGCGCTAGCGGTGCTTACTCCCTGGCAGTCGGCGTGCTGATACGTCCTAGGACATCGACATGGTAACTGCATGCTTTGAGCCAGTTGCTGACTAGAGGTGGCGAGCTTCCATCCCTTCTTCATGAACTTTTGGGTTTTGGGTTCTCTCAGGTTGACATTACACCCACTAGTGGTAGCAGAGAACGACTTATGCTTCATGAACAAGTCCTGGCACACGGGGAGTCGCCAGGCCTGGTTTCGCTCAGGCAGCACAACTGTGACGTGCATTCCGTGTTGCAGACACATCGACACCACGCAACCTACTCCTATCATCACCTTGGTAGCTTGTTGCCGCCGTTGCTGGAGTTCTTGTTGTTGGGCCTCCGTGCCTTTGTTCATATTTTGCAAAGGACAGTACGCTTTACAGTCGGGATTGATCCAAACATGTTGGGGCCTCTCCATCAGAATCCGTGACAACTGAAGCTTCAACCCCGGGCCCGTGCCTAGATCACACCCGTTCCATCGCCCACACACGACAGCGGCTTCGGGGTTTTGGGAAATCTCGCGCACCCTCTCCGCAAGTGCACCCCTGGAGTGAGCGCCACACTCCATCAAAACTGGTCTGTTGTGACCAGCCAAGGCTTGAAAAATGCTAGGAACAATCTCCTGAGACGCCTTCTCAAGTCCTAGCGCCTTCTGAAAACCCAACTGTTCCATCCCTTCAGCACCCTGGTCCTGGCTAGTCCTCGTAGCTTCCGGGTCCTGGCCGCGGCTCACTGCTGCGTCCTGGGTGATCGAGCACTCGTTGCCGTGAAGGACCGGTCGGTCATCTCGTCCTCCTCCGCCTTCGTCGCCTGCTTGCGCGGCGGCTCGGACTTCAAGAGGGCCATGTCCTCCTGCAACTTGGCCAGGGTCGCTGCCATCTCGGCCATCATCCGGGTTTGATCCGTAATCACCTCCGGTGAAGAGGTTGCCGAATCGCTATAGCCCTCCCGCCGGGGCACCATGAAGGCCTTCACTGCCATGTTCTTCGCCTTGGGCGCTGCCTTGGAAGAGGCCGCTGTCATCGAGGTCAGGTTCCGCTCGCGAACCTGGTCGGACTCCTGCTCCTGTGCCGTGAGCCAGCGAGCTAGCCGTAGGAGACGGGGATCGCAGTTGTCCGGGTCCTCGCTTGCGGTCTTTCGCACCCACTGTCCGTACTCCTTGTAGACGGTGAGCATCGTGTAGTAGCGCTCCTGGGAGTGGCGTCCAAACCCCAGTACATCCATGCTGTGCGGTGGCGCGCGCTTCATGATCAGCTGGAGGCCCTTCATCTCCAACTGTGGCTTCGTCTCGTTCCCGGTCACTTCCATGCCCAACTCGTTGCTGCAGAAAGCTTGCAGGCTGGCCTTGTTCTTGGCCGCCTTCCGTAGCTCGCGGGACATCTTCTCCAGGGGCGTAGATTCGAGCTCCCTCTTGGAAAGCTCCGTCTCTCGGCCCTGCAACTCCAGCAACCGCTGCCGGATGTCGAGCTTGGTCCAGCCCTTGGCTGGGTGTTCCCCGTACTTGAGAAGCTCCGCGGTCAAGCCGTCCTTGTTCATGCGGTACATGGCGAGAGGTCGACGGTGCGGGTGGTGCGGAAGAACTACACGAGGTAGAGCTTGATGCTGAAAGGCCTCCAGAGACAAGACTTCGATGATCCTGGTTCTCGACTCTGTCTGCCGTGTCCTGCATGTGCACATGTGCGAAGAAGCAAATCTAACCCCACCCCTAGATCTAACCTCTTTAGCACTCCTATTCCTGATCTCAGAACTCACTACATCTGCTGATTCCGCTTCCGGAATTTCCCCATGTCCCGTTGAAATTGGGACCTCCGTTTTCTCCACGGGACTAGAGATTCGGAAGTGCTGTCCCTAGCCTTCCACGCCGATGTATGCGGCGAGGCTTGGAACTTCCTGCTTTGTACAAATGGACCCCTGATACCAGTCTTCAGTCATATCCAACAACTGGTGTCCTGTTGCTGAGCGCTCAGCGCGGATCACCCTGCGCGGGTCCAACTTGCGGAAACGAATCAAATCGTTGGAAAAATCTACAATGGCTCCTAGGCTTCTCAGTGATTCGACCGAGAGCAACAGCGGGCCGCTGCCGTGGTCGAGGCAGTGGACCTTCAGCTTGCCGTCCTGGTTGTTCGCCGCGATCTTTCAAGTGGGCCGATCTTCATGATCGCCTCCATGGCCTCAATTGAGGCCAGTGTCCGAGTGGCTCCCCGGCTTTCCCTTGGAGGACTGCGTCGGCGGTCGTCAAGCCGGCGGTGTACGCCTCGGCCTTCTCCACAACCTGGCCGTTGAAGCAGATGAAGGACGAGGTTGCTTCGGGCGTCGTGGTAGCATGTGCGGCTGGCGGTTGCGGGCAATTGCTGGCCCGATGGCCAACTCGACCGCATCTCAGGCACGTCATTGTTGAATCATCTCGAGCTCCGGAAGTAGTTCAGCCCTTGCCCGTGCCTTTGGGTCCACCCTGATAGTACTGCCGTGAAAGTCGCACATTGGCTTGTCGAGCTCGTGCGTCCTTCAGGGTGCGCCTCGCATTCTGGATCACCGCCATGCCGCCTTGCACT